AGAAACTGTAGCACCGGGACTTGCCAATGTCAGATTGATCTGGCTGAAAGCGGAGAACACAAGAAGGATGTTTTATTGACAATGCAAAGACATTTGACTGAATAGATGACAACAAATTATGGCCAACATTGAGAAGAATTGGAATCACAGAACAGTTAATTTTAACCTGTACTTAGATAAAGAAGTTGTCCAAACAAAGCAAAGGAACACTGCACGGTTTAAAATGAGGAAAGGTGTGCAGCAAGGCTGTATCCTTTCTCCATACCTATTTAATTTGTATGCCTAGAAAATTATTTAAAAAGATGCACTCTATGACGAGGTATGTGGCATCAGGATTAGAGAAGGATTCAACAAGCATGAGTATGCAGATGGCACAACATTGCTTCCTAAAAATGAGGAAGACTTAAAAATCTAGCTGCAAAAAAATCAAAGACCATAGCATCCCCATCTGGACAATAGGCAACATTATGATAGATGGAGGAAAGATTATTGATAAAATCTTGCTTGCAGAGAACTAAGAGGACTTGAAGCATGTACTGATGAAAGGTCAAAGACTATATCATTCAGAATGGATTATACCTCAATAGAAAGAAAAATGCTCATAACTGGCTCAAATTATGTCGTTTGATTGTTTGTTTCTTCATATGTGAGTGGAAGTTGAACAGTGAATAAGGAAGATGAAAAACAAAACAATGCCTTTGAATGTAGTGGTGAATAGTATTGAATATATCATACATTTCCAAAAGAACAAATTTATCTTAGAAGAAATGCAGCCATAACGCTTTTTAAAAACAAGGATGTTGTGACAACTCACACACTTTGAGCATGTTGTCAGGAAGGGCCAGTAATTTTTGTGCGAAGACAATAGATGCTTCATTAAAAAAAAAAAATCAGTATTTTTGCAAAAAAATAATATGCTTTCATGAAAGCAGGTAATTTTCCAGAGAATTTTAATTTCAAGAATGTTACTACACCTTCTCTTTCAATCACCAACACAAAGTGTTTTTACATTGTGAAATTGCAGTGTATGTGACCTAGACTGATATTTAATTAGGACAAAGAAGATTTCTGATCCATTTGTTCTTGATATACTTGAGAAGGATCCCTTAAAACTAGCTTCTCACATCGAGTAGATTCTGATTAATCCTTTAGACCAGAGGAGACCTTCTCCTTTAGTGCTTTCAAAGCTGAAATACCACAGAAACACATTGTTATACATGTAGACTATGCAGTTGCTGGTGGGTTAAAAACGCTGATAGTTCTACTGGCAGTCAAGAATTTAACCACTGTGCCACCAATGCTGCTTATATACTGGGCCTAGAAATTTGTATCTGAATCAGTGATAGGATGTACATAGTAATCAATTCAGACCACTCACTTTGCTTGCAGAAAGCAAAGAAGGTCTGAAGCGCTTACTGAGGAAGGTAGATTACACAATAACATAAAGAAATGGTCCACTGCAGCAATGAACATCACAATAAACAGAGAAAAGATGGAAGTTACCAAGCATTTCATATAATCTGATCCACAATCAACATGGATAGAAGTCAAGAAAATCAAACAATATGTTGCATGAAGCAAAAATCTATTGCAGAAGACTGAAGTATTTAAAAAGTCGCTTTGAGGAGTAAGATATGCTTGATCCAAACAGTGGTATTTTTCAGTGCCTGATATGTATGTGAAAACTGGACAGTAAAATGAAAGAAGACAACAATTGACAGTTTTGAGTATGGTGGTGTCAAAGAGTATGAAATAAATATAAACAGCCAAAGAGTCAACAGATATATCTGAAGAGGCACAGTCAGAGTACCCATTCAAAGTGAGGATGGAAAGGCATTGTCTTGTATACTTTGGACATGATATCAGAAGAGAGCAGTTCCTGGACAAGAACATTACGCTTGGTAAAGTAATGAAAATTGATAAAGTAGTTAAAGTCTTTAAGCCATGGAGTTGGAACCAAGTCATAGGTGAAGTTCCAGCAGTTTTGCAAAGCTGTAAATTGCATAAGAGGAGGTTATCTAGTCTTCTTTTGCAGAGGCTGGTGGCCCATGAGTGGATTTGAACCACCAACGTGGTTCACCATAATTTGCTACAGACTATGGTACATGAGTAAAAAGAGGAAGACCTTTACAAGATAGATGAACATAGTGACTGCAACAGTAGGCTTCAAACATAACAATGGTTCAGATGATGTTTTAAGCAGAAGAGATTATGAGGATGGTATAGGACCCAGCAGTATTTCATTCTGTTAGACATGTTGCTATCTGTCACAGCCCTCTCAGTGGTTCCTCAATACCTACCCCCCATTAGAGTATCAATGTTGCTAAAACTGCTAAAATTTTGTTAGCCCATTCTTTTATACAAAGGCCATTCTGGTCCCGTGGATCTTTCTCAACACAATACAACTGCTATTAAAATGAATAATACTTTTTAGGGAGTTCTGGTAGCTTAGTGGCAAGAAGATGCAATGCAATCGCAAACACGCAAACTTTGAACCCACTAAATGTTCCACTAGAAAAAGAGGGGCAATCTCCTGTGCCAGTCAGATCCTACTCGATGGTACACTACAAAAAAAATACAAACAATAATGCTTTTTAAATGTCAAAACTAATTTCTGAATACTAATTTCAAACATGCATTGACATAGTATCTGACGTGTAGCATCCAGTTCCACTCAACTCATTCCCTTCAAGGCAGAACCAGTGAATAACCTACTTGAAATGGGATTTTGGAGCCTTTATGTGGCACAGGAAACTGCTCATCCTACTCCTATAAAGATGCTGTTGGATTTGAACCTTCAGACAGGCTTGGCCATTAGGTATGCAGTGCATACAACTCTTTAACAGTGACTACACCACCATTAAAGAAGAGGCCAGTAGTAAACACATGAAACAGATAACATTCCTGAATAGTAAATAATAAGAACTTAAAAGGAAACTAAAGGTCATTGAGAAGCTTCATAGCATTTGACCAGGTGCCTGAAGTAAATGAGAAGCACTAGTGAAAAATATACTGGGAAAGTATTCAAAAAGACTACAGCATGTTTAAAAAAGGACTAGCAAACAGCTATTTGTAATTAGGAAAAAATTAGGGAACTGGTGCAAATAGCATAGAGTGAAAGTGATGAGTGTGATAATGATATCAGAAATCAGATTTTGTTGGGTCTTTTAGGCCTTTAAAAGGAGCAAATGTTTGGATGGGATGGGACCCTTTATCACATTTCCACAGATTTTGTATAGGGTTGTTGTTCTTAGGTACCATTGAGTCTAGTATAACTCATACTGACCCTATGAAAAATAGATCTGAACCCTGTCCCATCCTGTGCCATCTTTACACTTCCTGGCACATTAGAATCCATTGCAGCAGTCACCATGTCAACCCACCTGATTGAAGGTCTTTGGATCACTTCTGTCAAGTGCTGCAGAAAAGTTAAGCAGATGAAGACTGCCCATCCAAAAAGGCAATTATATGTCACTGGTGATTTAAATAAAAATCAGTTTGGTGAAGGTGTGGTTATAAAATTATTCTGGGTTGAGTTGAAATGAGAGAGGAGAGAAAATAGAAATAAGTGTTAAACAACCCCTCAAAGCATTTTTTTTAATTTAAACTTCACCAGACCATTAGTATTCATTTTAATGTACTGCATGCATTTACAAATACTTCTCCCCCCCCAAAAAAAAAATAATCTGTTGAGTCAGTTCTGACTCATAGCCACCCTCTAGCCTTGCTCTGAGGCTATAGAATGTATCAAAGGCAACTGCCAATCTTTCTTCTTGGAACTAGTGCGGGGTTTAAACGTTTTACTGTTGTTTGAACTATCGAGTTAGAAGCAACTCACAGTTGACTATTCAGTGAGTTTTCAAAGGCAGTAAATTGGAGGGAACTCTGCCTATTATTCTCTGACAGAGCTGCTGATGGATTTGAACCATGTGTCCTTAGGTTGGCATTGTTGTGTTTGTGTACTGTCAAGTCAGATCTGACCCATGGATGACCCTTCAGCAGGTTTTCTGAGGCAGTGAATCACATGGAAGGAGATTGCCTATGAATCAGAGAGTGGATTCAAACTGCATGCCTTTGGGATTCCAGCACAGCTTCTTATCACGAGGCTACCAGCACTCTCAGTAGGTTGGCAATGATGTTGTTGTTGTTGATTGCCTTCGAGATGAGCATGACTCATAGTGACCTATGAACAAAAGACCTAAAGTCCATATGGACTATACCACTAGGATTGCCCATAATTTGTTAATTTATAATACTTTGTTGTTGTTATGTTAAGTGCCATAGAGTTGTAGACAACCCATGGTGACCATATGAACAAAAGTCTTGAAAACAGAACTTTCATCTTTTTTCCAAGTTCATATTGTTTCTGGAGGCAAGCCTATTTTATTTGGGAGTATAAATATGAGGCCAAATCCAATCAGCTCACACCCAGTTACCAGAAGCAGCCACTCCCAAGTATCAATCAAACCCAAACAAGAAAACACATCTTTGCAGAATCTGGTCATTCAGCTCATCTTCCAGTGCTATGTATTTTACCACTGTTTAGAAATGTAATCAATTTCAAAAAGCTAAACCAAATTTACTGTTGTGAGTTGATTCCAACTTGTCTAATCCAGTAGGTCAGAGTAGTAGAATCACTACATCCAGTTTCTAAGGCTGTAAATCCTTACAAGAATTTGAATTGTCAACCTTAAAGCACTTAAAGGCCTGCATCACAATTATTTCTATAATTATCATTAGGTGCTCTCAATAACTTTTAGTAAAGACTCATAATTGGACTCATAGGGATAATACAATTAGATTTTCTTTCACATCATTTATCTAACCAATATTTTGTGCTTATAGCTGTCATAATATGAGCAACACTTATATCATTCACTAGAAACTTTAAATTGGGACATTGAGACCAAGTTTGTAGTCATGAAAAGCTCTTCTACTAGGTTCTGCTTTAAGATACTGAATTGGTCAACATCTTATTAAAGGTTTATTTTTCTTTATAGGAAAGACAAGCAACTGTGAAAAAAGAAAAAGGTGGGTCGCAGCAACCCAACAAAGTGACCGACAGGAGCAAAATGCAAAGAGCAAACTCTGTTACAATGGATGGACAAGGCCTGCAGGTATGATGGTTTTTATTGTTCGAAATCTAACCATGTCCTATCCTGTGCCATCCTCATCATTTCTGATATCTCAAGCTCATTGTAGCAATCACTGTGTTAATCCAGATCATTGTACGTCTTCTCCTCTTTTGCCAACCCTTCACCTTTCCAAGCATGATGTTCTTCTCTAAACAATAGCCCCTCTTAACAACATACCCAAAATATGTGCAGTGAGGCTTTGTCATCTGTGCCTCCAAAAAGCACTCCAGTTGCTTTCTTTCCAAAGCACATCTATTTGTTCTTTTGGCAGTCTTGGGGCTCCAACACCATGCTCAAAGGCATCACTTCTTCTTTCATCCTGATTCATTTTTCAGCTCTCAAATAGATAGCAAGTTATTGAAAAGACAATGGCCTAAATCAGGCACACCTTAGTCTTCAAACTGACATTACTGATGCTCCTTAGTAATTTTGAGAAGTCCCTGACTGAAGACTTTCCCAATGCAATATGTCTCTTGATCACCTGAAATATGTATGTGTGTGTGTATTGAGGTATATATGTGTATGCGTATTGAGGTATATTTGAGGTATATATGTTTGTGTGTATTGAGGTGTGTATATATATATATATATATATATATATATACACACTGAGATGTGTGTGTGTATGTAGAGAAGTATATATATGTGTGTGTGTGTGTGTGTGTGTGCGCGCGCACATGCGTATAGAGATATATATGTGTTTGTGTGTGTATAGAGGTATGTGTGTGTGTGTGTATAGAGGGTGTGTGTATGTATGTGTATATATGTTGGAATTGACCCATAGCTGACCCTCTGGTTGGTTTTTAGAGGCAGTTAATCACACAGGAAGAGTTTGTCCATTCTCTCACAGAGCAGATTGCGCATTTGAACCAAAGTCTTTGTGATTGCAGTACAGATTCTTAACACTAGGCCATTAGAGCTCTCATATATGTGTGAATGTGTGTGTGTATTTGTGTTTGCTTTATGCTTTTTGAGGTACAATGTTCATCACTCAATACAAATATTAATGTATGGACTAACTCAGTAGAATGTTTCAAAAAGATCTTAATTTATCAAGATGTCATTCTTAAAGATGATAGAGAGAATGATAGTCTAACTAAATTAATAATTTATGGAACTATTTCATCTTTAATTCAACTGATAGGAAGTCTTTTTTCAATCTAATTACATTGATTGCTTTTGAACACCTTCAAGTTGGAACTGACCAATAGCTTACCCTACAGCATGTTTTCAGAGGCAGCAAATCACACACAGAAGATTGCCCACCTTTCTCACACAGACCAGTTGGTGAATTTGAACGTTGTACCTTTGAATTACCAGCACAACTCCTTACCACCAGGCTGGCATCCACTTCCTAAACAACATGCCTCAGGAAATTCTATGGACGTTGATAAATACCGATGGTTGTAGAGGGTCTTCAGGCCTTTTGTTCATAGGGTCACTATGTGTCGTGCTCAACTCGAAGGTAATCAACAACAACAACAAATATACATATATTTTATATACAACAAACAACAACTCATTACAATTGAGTTGGAATCTACTCATAGCTGACACCTACAGTGGGTTTTCAGAGGTTGTAAATGACACAGGAGGAGGTTGACCTCCTTTCTCCTATAGTCTCACTGGTAGATTTGAAGGAACAGAGAGATAGCACAACTCTGTAAATGCTACAAGCACAACTTGAAAATGGCCCACTCTGCAGTTTACAAGAATAAATACTTATTCACAAGAGTACTTTAGTATAAGGATCATTTAGAGAATCATTGTGGTAGCAAAAAAAAAAAAAAGAAAATTAAGTTACTTCTATTTATGGGAGTGATTCCCTTCCTAAATTAAAATGCTAAATAAACAGTGTTTTATCTTATTTTATCCATAATTCCAAAGTTTAAGCCCAAATTAAAACTTCAAATGTAGTTCTAATTTAGAGATTAACAAGTAATTAAAAAATAATTTCTAACATTTAATATAAATTCTTTTGGTTATCCACACCAAGATCAAAGACTGTTTCTATTTATATTTTAAAATATTATATGTTTTTGTGTGGCCTAAAGCTGGAAACAATTCATAGCTGAACCTCTCAGCAATACTATTTATACATCTTTCTTATATTTCTCAGCTTCTAAGTATTTTGTTTTTATTGTGTGCTGTTGAGTTGGAACCAACTCACAGTTGACCTTTCACAAGGGATTTCTAAAAAATATTTTCTAGTGTTTCAAGAATATGAAATGAAATATCAATATCTAGACTAAATGAAAGTAATTTCTATGGGTTTATAATTTCTGATGAAAATCACAAAAAGGAAATTTATCCATAATTTTTATTTTAAAATTATTTATTGCTTATTTCCTTAATTTTTGGTATATAATAAGCAATCATAAATTTAATATCTTATTTCAATTGTAGTTTAGCTTAAATAATCATTCTGGGTTCCTGGAATGTAGGTAATGAAGAGAAACCTAATTTTGAAATTAAAAAAACCAAAACCACAACACAAGAATATTTCAGACATGATAAGATGCACATATTTCATCATGGAGGGTTAACTTGTAGTGTTGTTGTTCTTGTTGTTAAGTGTCATCGAATCCTACGTGACTCATAATGACCCTATGAATAAAAGACCTGAACACTTGTAGCTGTTTCGGAAGTAAATGCCACTCCTGCTTTCAAGTTTATTTTAACTGGGGAATTCCACCAAACACTGTCCACCGTGGGTAACCATTATCACATTTGTCACTTTAGAGTCGCAGTGGTTAGCATCACAGCAACCACAAGTTACCTCTGTACAGCAATGCACAGACCAATGCTTTGTACCACTTTGAAGAATGTTTGACCAAAAAACAATTAAGACCAGTCCTGAGGGCCACTTATTAAAATCACCCACCTTTGGCTTGGTAATAGCATCACTCAGTAGTGCCACTAGGCCAATAAAGCTCTCTCGTTGATGTTGTTGTAAAGTGCCGTCGAATTGTGTGTTGTATATAGTCTCACATGCACATGTTAGGAGACATTGAGTCAGAACTGACTCATAGCTGAACTTCTGGTAAGTTTTCAGAGGCAATAAATTGCATGAGAGAGCTCTGGTGGCCAAGTGATAAGAAGCTATACTGCAATCCCCAAAGCATGTGGTTTTAGCCTACTAGCTCCTGGAGAGAGAATGGTCAATTCTTCTCATTCGATTTACTGTCTCTGCAAACCTGCTAAAGGTTTAGCTATGGGTCAGTTCTGACTTGATGGAAAACAATAACAAATTGCATGAGAAGAGATTGCCCTGAATGAGATGGATTGACACCGTGACTATTATTATACTGGCAGGTGTGTTGGAAACTGTGAACCGGTCCAGATAGAGCAAGATTCAGAGCTGTTGTTCATAGGGCACTATGAGTCATAGTCAACTTGACTGCACATCACAGCAATCTCCATTTCTTAAGATTTTGATAGTTGTACCTGACTTGACCCAGATCTCAAGACTAACATTAAACCCTGCATACAGAGTTTGTTGAGGACTTTAAATGATAGAGAAAAGTACTTTATATTCTGAAATATTTAACCTTATTACAATAAAATTAGTTACTTAAAAAACCAGAAATGATTCTTATTCTCTCTGGCTGTGTTTTATCTTTTTAACCACATAGTATTATTTTCTTTAACTTCCTTTGAATTCTAAATATGTCCCTAAAATTTTCAATTGACAAATATAGACAGAACCCTTATTAATATGTCATTAAATAAGTAATACTTAAATTATTGGGTGAATAATAGATTTTTAAAATTTAATAATTGATATATAATCATATTCACCAGTATGTTTTGTTCAAGAGAATGTCCAAAATAAGTGCACATGGGAATTCATAATTTTGGAGCAAATGATAGTAATTATCCTGGATAACTAGCTATATAACATGCAGAATAAAAGTGATTGTTTTGTTGTAAAATCAATTTTAAAATAACAAAACAGCTATGATTTTGTGAAAATGAAAGGTTAAACATATCAGTTAGAAATCTTATCTGTGAGATTTACAAAATATATATCATGACAAAATATTGAGATGCAGCCCAGTTTGCATATAACTCAGTGACAGAAGAGATCTACAGTGCTTAAAGAAGACTATTAATCATAGTTAAGCACATTCATCTTACTACTTTCCAGCTAACCAGCATAATGATCAGGATTATTATTTCTAATTAGAGGAAGTAATAGATCATGTATAACCTTAGGATGAGTCTCATTAATTAACCCGAGTCTTAGGGGACTTCAAATCAAGGTGGCTAGGCACTCTGTCTTTGTCATCGGTCACACCATCAGTTTACACTTCATATATCTGATCAAATGTAATTGAAACTACAATTTCTTAATATGCAAAGACATAAAGACACATACCATTATTCTGTATATGAACATACAGAAATGAAATGGTTGCTTAAACCATATTCCATTGAAACTACTTTACCCTTAATTATAATTAAAGGAAAATTTCCCAGTAAGAAATTCATCTAAGAAATGAAGAGTCTACTTTTAACACATATAATACAAAATAATAAGAGTTTCTACTTAAATGCATAATATGGAACCAATATTTTCTCAAGACAAAGTTTTCCTTTTTGACTTCCTGATCGCAATATTCATATGCTTAATTCTAAAAAACTAGAAAGTGTACTTCCATCCACACACACACATACCCAAATATGTGTAAGTATAGTTAGTTTTCTTCCTTTTCTGGTTATCCATGTGTATTTTTGAACTTGTTGACTCTTCTGTAATCAATTCTTCATTGTTGTTTCAACCTTGTTATCTAAAATAAGGATTATTTCATTAGACTATTAGTAGTGTAACAGTCTTTTAATTGAAGCCTTGTCTCCATACTTATGATGTGGCAATGAAAATGGTAAGAAGCAAGTAGAGCTGGATAGAACCAGAAGTGTCAGGGTTGGAGAGTTGTCTTTTTTTTTTTCAGAGTTGTCTTTAATTTTACTTAAAATTA